CTCCTTAGTTTTGTGACATGTGGCACACAACTTAACAGGAGTTTAACTCTGTTAACTCTCTTTTAGTTTTTTTTTCTTTAATTAAAACAATTAAAATATATTATATTAGAATACACGTTTGACAAAAACATTTTGCAGGCCGCTTCATCTTCTACGCTACACTTCAACCCCTATGTCTTCTCTGCACTGCAAAACTCAGCCACTTCATCTTCTCCGCTCTACAAAACTCAGCCCCTGCATATGATTTGTTTTTCTAGTTCACTCATCGGCTGCTGGTTCATCAGGTAAGCACGCTATGCTCTTCATGTTTTTTTCTTTTCTTTTTTGATTGCTGGTTTTTGAGCATCGTATGCAAAACTCAGCCGCTTCATCTTGGGTATATAATTATCAAATGAATTGCGTAATGGGTATATAATTATCAAAACTCAGCCCCTGCATATATTTCACTCGTTGACCACTGGTTCGTGAGGTAAGCCAGGCTCTACTTCATAATTTTTTCCCCCTTTTTGGTTGTTGGTGTTAGAGCCATCGCACAAGAAGCTTTTAAACGATTAATTTGCTATACTTATATACTCATTATGCAATTCATTTGGTTTCAATACTTTTTTTCAGAAAAAGAGAAGGAAGAAGGTTGATCACTGAAGCATACCTCCAGCATTTTGGTTCATTGGAAGTTAATTCCCATCCTGCCTTTTAAATTGATCATATTTTCAAGCTATGTCTCTGGACACTTGGCTACAAAGGCAATTCTGGGAATTTTTGGGTGTCCAGAGATGTTTTTGGGGTGTGTATCAAAAGCTAATCACCCTTATATACGTAGGGATGAATGCTTTATTGGGTGTCCACAGATACACTATTTAATGAATGCTTTATTGGGTACTAATAATTTGGAATTTGTTAAATGGTGAAATGGTTAAGAGTGGTGATTAGATGGGGATGCTGTCCTTAATGTTGAACAACTGCTTATGAATGGAGCCTTGTATGTTGGTCAAACTGTGTAAATGTTATTATTATGTTATATATCCAGAGTGCTTGCCTATGTAGCTCATGTCTATGAGTCTAGCTATTTTCGTTGTCATAATACATTTCAGATTTAAGCATTTTGTTTCTTGAAACATTATTACTAGTTGTGGGTTCTGTTCTCTAGCCCAATGTGTGATCTGTAATTTCCAGATACAATGTGCAGGTTTGCTTAAAATAGATACGAGAATGTAAGTGTAGGTGGGTGTGGGTAGTGGGGGATCTTTGGTGGTTGACATTTGGCTTCTATTTGAAGTGGTTTATTCTTTGAGTAATGATGCTTGCAACTTCTGTAAGAGTACAGTGCCCTGCATCTAAAATCAGTATCTACAAAAAAAATTGATTAGAGTCTCTAACTTGATTTGTAGGAGGAAGAGAAACTAGAAGAGGTACCTGAAATTACCCACAGAGTATACCTGGATATTGATATTGAGGGACAGCACTTAGGTATAGCTTCATGTCAATACTATTACATGAACCACTACAGGCCAAAAGTTAACAAAGAGGAAGCTCACAGCCCAGATGATGTTCTAGTGAAAAAGGTGCAAAGAAGAAGGGATCAAATTCTGGTGAAAAAGGTTCTAGTGGTAGTCAAAGTAGTGAAGGTGGGCATGGTAGGCAGGAAGTGAACATTGAGAAGCAACCATTGCTGAGGTTCATAGTGATGGGAAGGAAATCCTGTACAATAAACATTATGTATTATTTTTCCTCTAAAATCTTTTCTATATGACCCAAAATTCTATGAAGTTTGTATGAGGTTCTGCATTATTAACATCATTGTGCATTCTTCATCATGTTCTGACATGGAGAGAGCTTATTTGAAAGTATGCAGCATGATTAATGCCTTCGTGGCTTGAAATGCAAGTAATATTTTCATTGAATATAATACTTCAACACCATAGGAGGGCAGAGATGCCAAATATCAGAATAAGTTCAAATACCAAGACAGGACAAACATAACAAACGTTCTAAATCAAAACAGAGTTGTAACAAATTATGGAACCCTTGTTAATTGAGAGCTGAACAACCCAAATTCAACATTATGACGCTTGGTGACTCTTGTCAATTGAAAAAGGTGGATCTACTTCAACATTATAACTCTTGGCCCCGGCACTTGTGAATTGAGAGCTAAACAACCCACATTCTCCTTCCAATGGTGATTGTGCCTACACTCATACAATATATATATGTCAAAAGAGCGAAATATACTCAATCAAGTAAATAATTATGATTAAGAAAAGTTTTAACTAAATGCAATGAAGTACCTGCAACAAGTTGACCATGCTAACTGGAAATTCCATGCTTAAATTATTGACAGCAACAAGTTCCTACAATTTTTTGGGTTCAACCAATACAGTAAGAAAAATACAATGAAGCTACAGGGTAATAAACAAAAAAAAGATGAAATTAATAACGAATTTATACAATACCTGTGAAAATTCTGATAGAGGTGTTGGAACAACTTTCGTAGTAGGAACACATATTGAATCAACACTGCTTGAATGTTGCAATTCTGTTTTTCGAGTTCTTCTCTTCTTTGTCAGCTTCTCCAAAACATACTACATCACCAAAATAATCATAATCTACCATCATCCTCGTATCAGCCCAAAAAATATTAGTGATCAAATCATCTTCATCCACTTGTATAGCATAAAAAAAATTAGGATCATTCAATTGCATTTGTTGCAGATACTCTAACACACCACCTGTATCTCCTAACTTCATTTCTCTTGTTCGTTTTGAATGTAAGTAGTTCTTGTAATCATCAGGAATAAATCCAAGACTTTCCCGACCACCAGCTTGTCTACTTAAAAATTCAAGAGTTGCTTTGGGAGCAATTCCTGAACTATCAGCCATATCAACTTCAGCTATTTGTGCAAGAGTGATCTTCCTATGAGACCTAAACAAATGAGTCTTAGACGGACTTGTAGTCACATGGTTATGCTCAGAAACAAATTCTATGACACGATACTTCTCATTCAAATGACAACTAATTTTCATTCTTGCTAAGCATCCACATCTTGTCTCAGCACGATGATATTTCACATTAGAAACACGCTTATCAATTTCACGCTTACCTTCAACGAAGCAAACAAAAAGCCTGTCTCTCAACTGGCCACTTTTGAATTTGTGACAGCTACTTCTTCTAATACTAAAACCAATATTGTATGCATATGCATTGTAAAATTTAAATGCTAAGTCTTCTGTCTCAAACTCCATCCCAATCACAGGAATTAGTTGTTTTTGAATGCTAGAATGAACCAAATCTATTTTTTCATTACCTTTCATAGCTTGTGATGACTTTTCGTTGCTTTCACCTTCTGAAATGTTCAAGCCAGGGCTTGTTTCACCTTCTCCATCTTCCATGCAATTATTTTCCATATTCATATCCTTCAAAAATTGAATCAAACAAAATTTATACATCTAAAATATCTTCCACATAACAATAAAAAATTACAATTAATTCAATAAAAATTAAACAGAGGTAAGTACTGTACAATCATATGTTCATATTAGTTACTGATGAAACTAGAAAATGGACGTAGATGAAAACCAAGACATTGGAAAAACAGTGTTTGAAGAAAAATTAATATATTTTATATTAGTTGTTACTGTAGATGAAAATGAAAAGTCATCACAAGATTGAAACCAAATGAATTTGATTCAAATGAATGGCATATTGGGTATATGATTGTCGCAAGTTATATATTTATAAGTTTTTCATAAGATGTTGAAAAACCAGCAATCAAAAAGCAGAAGAAAAAAACATGAAGAGTAGAGTGTGCTTACCTGATGAACCAAGAGCCAACAAGCGAACTAGAAAAACAAACCATATGCAGGGCTGAGTTTCGTGGAGTGGAGAAGATGAAGTGGCTGAGTTTTGCAGTGTTTTTACGTCTGTAGGGGTTGAAGTGTAGCGTAGATGATGAAACTGCCTACAGTGTTTTTATCAAACATGTATTCTAATATAATATATTTTAATTGTTTTAATCAAAGAAAAAAATTACTAAAAGAGAGTTAACAGAGTTAAACTCCTGTTAAGTTGTGTGCCACATGTCACAAAACTAAGGAAGAAACATGGGGGCACAGGAACTTTGGTAACAAGAAAACCGGACTCCTTTTATATTGAAGTAATTATTTTTAATTTAATATTAAATATTTTTAAATGAATGAAATTGACGGAATTGAGACATTTTACTTGATTTGCTAACTATTGCAAATGTGGTGACCAAATTCTGAAAATTAAAATTATAGTGACCGAAATCATTTTCGACCCTAACCCTAATTACCAAAAATGTTTTTGGCCTTTAAAAAATACTACCCAAATAAACCAGGTAACATGAAAGAAAATTAATTGGGCCAAAACCCATGTTGTGGATGTGGCGGTTAAAATTTGTCGAGGTAGCCAGTGGGTTCTACCACAGTGGTGGTGACTTCCCCCTTCCCCCATGGCATCCCCATTCGAAACCCCATGTGTGCGCATTGGTGCTTCTCGTTGCGTTTCAAAAAAAATAAATTTGTCGAGGTAAGAACTGGGCCGCCCATGAGCAAAGACTGATCCATAAACTCATGATCCAAACTTGCCAAAAGTATAGAAATTACAAGAAGATTCAAAACACCGAAGCGCCCAAACACCATCGCGTCGGTTCGCGTAAATCCCTCTTTTTCCAAATCACTTGATCTCCAATTTATTCAATCAAATTCAAACAAAATCCCAAATTTTCCTTTGTCTTCTCATTTCCGCTTTTTCCCCATTTTCCCTCGTTTTCAGTCTCCCGAGCCCTACAATTCAAACATTTCTCGAATCCCAAAATTCAATCAAATGTCGGCTTCGACCGTATCTATAACGGCGAACCCGGCCACAACGACTCGGCGGCGTACCGTGGTGGCCTTCCCACCCACCATGGAAATTTGAAAAAACACAATCCTATCTTTCCACTCACCATTATTCCTAAAATACCCTTTGATTATAATATTAAGAGTCAATTCCATATTTTTGCTTGTTTTTATGTTTATGTGTAATAAAATATTCATAGAATTTATAAAACTCAATAAATAAATAAAAGAAATTTTTTAAAACAAAAACCCATCCGCCCCAAGCAGCCACCCCTTCCCCGACCCCAATCCCTAGCCCCACCCCACTGCCCAGATTCATCCCCAAAAACCCAAGCCTCGACACCACCGCCTCCGCGTCCTCCACTTACGAAGAATGGTCGACTGAGAAACTACTGTGGATTTAATCAACTTCTTGATGCGATTCAGAGCTCTAAAGCAAGAATCTAAAATCAATTTCCTTTCAAGGTGGCCACAGGTATTTTAATTGTTTTAATTTTGCCCATATAATCATTAAAGCATTGGGCTTTGTTTAAAATACATGTTTGTTTTTTAGGAAGTGATTTGGAGGCAGCTGAAATTCTCATCAATGTTGACCACAAAGAACCATGTTGGTGGGTTTGGGTAACAGAAGATATGATTCCGGGCAAAGTTGAGGAAATGAGTGGAATTGACAATGAAAGCTATGTTCTTGTTAGTGGGTAAAGCTCCGATTCCCCTATATTCATATGGTTCTTCCAGTTCGAATCACGGAAGCACTCAATTCCCACAGAGAGAACGGGAGGAATGGATTGGGTTGGGGTACAGTACAGAGGTGGGTGCTTGAGGAAGTGGGGGAGATGGCTGCCGTGCGGTGGAGGAAGAGGGAGAAGGGTGGGGTATGCGTGTTGTGAGGGAAGGGGTTTGATATTTGTTAATAATCTTTTTAATTTTTTTTCATAATTATTTTCTTATGTTTTTTAATTGGTTTTAATGTTTTTCCCCTAAGCTCTTAGAAGTCATTTTATAAAGGGGTAAATTGGTCTTTAATTTGCAAGATTAGGTGAGTGAAGAAATAAGACAGGTGGGTGGAAATAGCAACACTCTAATTTATCTATTATTTTTTGTGATATTTAATGCTAATTTCCATATACTTGACTAAACCGTATATTAGTCTTTATTGTGCTTATCGATATTGTGTTATGGTGTTGTGTGATTCATTACTCGCAAAACATTTAGTAGCTTTTTTAGTAGTTGGTATATTAGTAGTATTGAATTATTCCAAGTACTGGTGTTGTAGTGAAATTAGTAAGTATATTAGTAGTATGTAAATTGTATAGGTAAATAATTTTAAAGTTTCCGTGCTATAGTTAAATAATTATTTATAAAATCTAGGTAAACTAGGTAAATTAGGTAAATAATTATTTACCAAACACCTTAAATTGTTTAATTAACTTTAATATAAAGCAAAAGCAAGAGAATGGTGAAACATTCAAAATACCAGAAAATGCCCTTGGTTAATCCAAATATTAAGAATTAAAATTATTAATTAAATGAGGATAATATGGTAAATTCACACCTTTTCATATTAAAAAAAATTAAAATTAAAAGAAAAATCAGATAATGAATTCTATTTTTATGGAACACAACTACTCATTATTTTTTTTAATTCTAAAATAAATTTATTTATTTATTTAAAAAAAGCCTCTCGCAGGCGCAAAAGCGCGTGCGGAGAGGCTAGTTAACTTTAAAGCAAAGCAGACTTTTGGCCAAAAAATGCAATCCCAAACGGGGCCTTATGGCTTCATATTCGGTAGAATTTTTTTTTTATTTTTTTTATTTTTTATATTAGTTTCGAAAAGTTTTCTTTCAATATAATAATGTCATTATTAATTAAAAGTGTTGTACAATTTTCCAAAAATACCTGAATTTTGGTTGGAATCAGATATGAGTTTCTATATTCCTATTTGAATTTTGTTTAGGGAATCATGATCTTAGGACTTGCTGTGACCCTAATGACATGGGGTATAAAGACGGAAGGGCCATTTTTTGTTTCGGTTTTTCAGCCTGTGCTGCTTGTGATGCTTGCACTTGCAGACTCTTTCCTATTTGATGAGAAGTTATACATACAGGAAGGTATGCCTTATCTATTATTTTCTTAATCTACCATGCCTTTGTGTGGAATTTCTTGTCGTCTTTGTGATTTAATTAGTTTGTTGCCTTGGAGACTTGGTTTATAATTACTACTTTTGCTGGGCTTTCGCTAATTCATCTTATCTCAGCATACTAGGAGCAAGGGCGGAACCATGAATTTTTCAATGGGTGGGCTAGCTAAAGTTATTAGCTTAAAATCTAAGGACCAAGTTTTGTTTGGGTACTAACTATTTCTCTAGTTTTTCTAGAAATAAAAGTATACATTGGGATAAAATAGTAAAAGGTTGAGAGTTAAAATCATGAGTGTTTATTAAGAGATTATGTTTCCTAATTGAGCAAACAAATTAATATAAGATGATTATAGGCCTACAAAATTGAGTGGACAATGAGTTACAAGGCTACATTTGAGTGGGCTACTAAGTTTTTATGGGATGAATAACATTAAAATACATATAATATATTTTAATTTTATAAAAAGGCTACCTAGGCTAAAGCCCATGGTAGCCCTTTGCCTAGTTCCGCCCCTGACTAGGAGGGTTGCTGATTTTGGCTGGACTATACCCCATATTGTGGACTAATAGTAAGGATAAATTTGATTCTCAACCCACATCCTTTGAGGAGATGCCAATTCACACAAGCATTACACAACCCTAAAGCTCGGCAATGTTTGATAATGTTTGGACAAATGGAAATGTATTACCCATCTATGGCGTTTGTCCAAACATTATCAAACATGGCCGAGCTTTAGGCATGTGCAATACTTGTGTGAATTGACATCTCCTCCGTGGATGTGGGTTGAGAATCGGATTTATCCTTACTACTAGCCCACAATATGGCGTATAGTCCAACCACAATCAGCAGCCCTCCTAGTATGCTGAGATAAGAGGAAGATGAATTAACGAAAGCCCAGAAAAAGTAGAGTAATTATAAACCAAGTCTCCAATGCAACATACTAATTAAGTAACAAAGACAAGAAATTCCAAACAATGGCATGGTGGATTAAGAATTTATTAGATAAGTCATACCTTCCCATATGTAACTTCTCATCAAGTAGGAAAGAGCCTGCAAGTGCAACCATCACAAGCAGCACAGGCTGAAAAACCGAAGCAAAGAATGGCCCTTCCTTCTTTACACCCCATGTCATTAGGGTCAGAGCAAGCCCTGAGATCAAGATTCCCTAAACAAAATTCAAATAGGAATATAGAAACTCAGATTTGGTTCCAACCAAAATTCAGGTATTTTTGAAAAATTGTACAACACTTTTAATTAATAGTGACATTACTATATTGAAAGAACAGTAATTTCAATAACATGGCATTATAGTAATTTTAATAACGTGGCATTATAGTAATTTTAATTACGTGGCATTATAGTAATTTTAATTACGTGGCATTATAGTAATTTTAATTACGTGGCATTATAGTAATTTTAATTACGTGGCATTATAGTAATTTTAATTACGTGGCATTATAGTAATTTTAATTACGTGGCATTATAGTAATTTTAATTACGTGGCATTATAGTAATTTTAATTACGTGGCATTATAGTAATTTTAATTACGTGGCATTATAGTAATTTTAATTACGTGGCATTATAGTAATTTTAATTACGTGGCATTATAGTAATTTTAATTACGTGGCATTATAGTAATTTTAATTACGTGGCATTATAGTAATTTTAATTACGTGGCATTATAGTAATTTTAATTACGTGGCATTATAGTAATTTTAATTACGTGGCATTATAGTAATTTTAATTACGTGGCATTATAGTAATTTTAATTACGTGGCATTATAGTAATTTTAATTACGTGGCATTATAGTAATTTTAATTACGTGGCATTATAGTAATTTTAATTACGTGGCATTATAGTAATTTTAATTACGTGGCATCATATATGTGATAGATTTGAAATTGAACACATAATTTATAAATAACTTTTCCTTGTTGTTTTTCTTCCTTTTCTTTACAGCAAATGAGATGTGTGATAGATTTGCTAGTACTGGATTTCATGGCAAATGATAACGTATCTAATCCAGGAGCTCAACATGCCACTAGTGAAGGCCTCTAATACCCTTAGCAATTTCATGGGAATGGCTAGTTTTCATGCCACTAATTGGAGCTTTGATTGCCGACTCTTTTGCTGGTCGATTTTGGACAATCACCATAGCTTCCATTATCTATGAACTTCTCTCTCTCTCTCTCTCTCTCTCTCTCTCTCTCTCTCTCTCTGCCATAAGCCACTAGTCATTGATTGAAGACGGGTAGCGATTTTCACACTCCATGTTTAGCTTATCATGCTCCCTTTGTAAGTCTATAAAAATTATATAACACAATTTGGAATGCGCCTAAAGCTAAACTGGGAGTGTGAAAATCACTACCCTTAAAAACATGCTAGGGTTAGTAGTATACTAACCACAATATCAACGCTAGTCCCATCTTTTCGCCCTCCGCCATATCCAACACAAGTGAATTGCAAGGAAGCATCAACTTCGCAGCTATGGATCCTCTACGTCTCTTTTCTCCTTACGTCACTTGGTTCCGGCGGCATTAGGCCATGCGTTGTTACCTTTGCTGCTGACCAATTTGAAATGTCCAAATATAAAAGTCGTCATGCTCAACAAAATTGGAATTTCTTCAATTGGTACTATTTTAGCATACCCTAACAGCTTTAATTATTGTGGTTTACATTCAAGAGCATGTGCGATGGGGATGGGGTCTTGGCCTCCCTACTATTTCCATGGCTCTATCGGTTTTGGCTTTTGTGATAGGTTCTCCACTTCATATAAAATTAAAATCAGGAGGCAGTCCATTGGTTAGTAGTGTATTTACATATTTATGATATTCAGTTTCTTTTTTTTTATGCGAATTTTATGCAATTATCAGTTGCCATTGTAACTGGTTGATGTTTCTAATGAAAAATCATCATTTTCCCCTTAAAATAAAAAATAAAAATTGTCATATCCGTTTCATTATTTTTTTTAATTTCAAATGGTAATTGACATAAATTTAGGGATTTGTAAAATAGTATTTTTTGGGCATTAAAATAGAAAAAAGTCATGTTTGTAACTTTTTACACTCACCTGTGCTTCTTATATGTTTTCGATAAAAAAAATGCTTCTTCTGTGTTTATCTCGTAATATTTTAACTAACATTTGATTTATTGGTTACTTGATTTTAAAATTTTTTGAATAATAATGTACCTATTTCGTGATTTATTAAAAACAGCATATCAAATTTTTTCTTTTTTATGAATGATAATATACCTCATTTTCTAATGTACCTATTATTTTTATGGATAATAATAATATACCTATTATCTTTTGTGAATAATAATTTATCTATTTATTATGGATAATAATCTATCTATTTATTATGGATAATAATCTAATTTACCTATTATTTGTTGTGATATTTAATGCGAATTTCCATATACTTGCAAAACATTATTTTGTGATATTTTGTTTGATTCATTAATCGCAAAACATTTAGTAGTTGGTATATTAGTAGTATTGAATTATTCCAAGTACTAGAGTTGTGGTGAAATTAGTAAGTATATTAGTAGTATGTAAATTGTATAGGTAAATATTGTTAGTAGGCTGTAGACGTCCTCCGGTGTATATATATATAAACCCCTTCTCTATGACTGAGTACTGCGTCTTTATGAATCTTCCCCCTTCTCTCTGTTCGATACCCATAACCCCATGCTTTACCAGTCATTCTTCTTTATCTTCACAATGAAATCAATAAAATCAATACTAGTATTGATTTTTGTACAACTAT